CGATCTGCATTGATGGCTGGACAAGGTTCACACTTTGGCGGGAATTCCGCTTCTTCTCCATTATCCAGATTTACATATTTTCATGGATGCTTCTCTTCATGGCTGGGGATCGTAGGCTGAGCAGCAAGTCATCTCAGGTCAATGGTTTGCAACCGAACGATCTTACCATATCAATATCCTGGAGCTTCTTGCTGTCCGTCGGGCTTTGGATCATTTTCTTCATCTTGCCCACAACCATCTGGTTATGATCCATACAGACAATTTTATGGTGGTGGCATACATGAATCACCAGGGAGGTACTTGTTCTTGTTCCCTTTATTGTCAAGTGTTGAATCTACTTTTTTTTGGGACCACACACACCATATTCATCTACTTGCATGTCATGTTTCAGGTTCTTTCAACCTTGTCACAGATATCTTTCCAGCACAGACAAAATTTATCAGACAGAGTGGTCTCTAGATCCTCAAGTTTTCTAGTGGTTATGCACTTGGGCTGGTACTCTGCACCTGGATGCATTTGCTACTATTCTCAATACCACATTTTCTCAGTTTTGATCTCTGGTGCCAAATCCACTTGTTCTGGCTATAGATGCATTTATTCAGGATTGGACAGACAAAGTCCTGTATACGTATCCTCCTATCTGACTCTTTCCCAGGTTGATTGCTATCATCCATTATACTCCGTGTCCTTCTGATTGTCTTTTACTGGCTGGCCCAACCATGGTTTCCGCAGCTGTTCCAGATACAATATGCTCCACTGTTGCCTCCTCCCAGAACTCCATCTTTTCTACAGCAGCTTCAGTTCCAGGTAGTTCATCTCACCATTCCTACCCTTTGTCTTCACACCTGGTTTTTATTCAGTCTTTGGTTGGGAGTTCTGATTTCTCACAGTGAGTAACTTCATTGTTGGCACATTCTGTTCGACCTTTTTCCATGGAGATTTATCTACGTAAATGGAACATTTTCTGCCATTGATCATTGGGCTGTGGGTTCTCTTCTGCTTGTCCCACTGTTCCACTTATTATGGATTTGATCATGGGTCTTCAATCTCCTCAATCGTGGGTTATTGAGTGTCCTTATCCCACATTTTTCATTTTTCCTAGTACCATGTAGTTTTTGCCTCCCATACGTTATCACTCTTCTTTCATCCCTGATTAGCGGCCCTTCTGGATTGGGATGTCAGTGTGGTGCTTCATTGCCTTACTTTACCTCTGTTTAAACCCTTGTCTTCATGTGTCATTTATTCCTTAAGGCATATTTCCTCCTTCTTTTGGCCTGTGGATGTCATTGGTCAGATTTGTTTGCCATCAATGTTTCATGTACTCTGTACCATTCCTCTTATCTTCTCCTTTACCTGAATCAATCTTTCCTTCCCTAAACTTCGACGGTTCAAGAGGGTAATTCCTCCTTCTTACCAATTTCCCTTCCTCCCATTTCTCACCTCTATTCCTATGTTCAGTTTGTGCTCTTTGTTGTTATATCACCCGCATGGTTTCCTTCAATCATAACTGTTCCCACGTATTCATCCTTTGGCAACTATCCTCTGTTCGTGATATCTCTCCTTTCACCCTTACCAATCGGGTTTGGCTTTTAATTCGATTGGCTTATTCTTCCTTGTGTCCTTTTTCCCATCAATTATTCTTGATGTCTTCCCATCAGAGCTGGACCTTACTTTTTCCTTAGCACCTCATCTGCATTGACCTTTTGAGGAAATGCTTCAAGCAAGCATGTGGACCACTCCACATACTTTCATCTCTCAATATCTGCATCATGTTGCTGTTTCTTCCTTGCCGAGCTATAGTTTTCTACCTGTTGCCTTTCTTCAGACTTCGGTGCAAGTATAACTTGGTAAGTTTTATTTCTTTCATTATATATATTTTTCAGGGGCCTATCCCATGTTTCAATCTGTATTCTGCTCTGTGGTGAGTGAAGCCTGTCCAGGTATACTTCAATTACTTACAATTGTACTCAAATCTTCACTTTATGGCCATGTTGACTTCACTTTCATAATTTCCATAGCCATTAAATGTACACTGTTCTTTACTATCACATATACAAGAGATGGGTGTTCCACAAGATCACTTGTAGGTTATTCTTGCAATATATTTGCTTCATAAATACGCCTGTTCCTGACCATACTGACCCTGCTATTCCTTAGATTGAATAAATCGGGTTTGACCTGTTTTTCAAAATTGGGTTTTGTGGTCACCCATTGCATTGTCTCTGATGTGAAAGATCCTCCAGACTCTCCACTATGTTTTCTCCCTCCCGTTTCTTCCAGTGGCGTAACAGAGTCCTTACCACTTTCCAGTTCGAAGCTGCTGAGGTGGTGGATCATATACAATATAAACAATGATGACTGTATTCAGTTGAGAGTAAGGCAGTGGTATTCTGCTGACAAAAATCCTCCAGAAGGCACTCCATCTCTTCATGAACTTCTTAGAGGAGATATTGTAGCTTTGGAGTGAGCTATCATAATGACTGAGAGCCCTCAACCTGTTCTCCACACTCATGTTGTGATGATTGTGATCCCTCATCCTATTCCCACTTTGATATCAGTTCCTGATATCTTTATGTTGAGGATGTTACTGCATTTGAGGTGGTCTGGTCTGTTTGGTTTGAGTGGGATATCTATGTATTTCTGCTGGTGTAGTTGACAGAAATTCTCCAAGAGGTGCTCCATCTCTGCATGAGCTTCTCAGAGGGGATGTTATAGCTTTGGAGTGAGCCGTCATAATTACTGGGATCCCTCATCCTACCCCCACTTGGATGTCAGTTCCCAGCAGCTGAGTTTTGGATTTTGAACTGAACCAATCACCCTATTGCCCACACTCATGTTGTGATGATTGGGATCCCTCATCCTACCCCTGCATCAATGTTGGTTCTTGGCAGTTGAGATTTGGATTTAGAGCAGAACCAATCACATTATGTCCTCACACATGTCATGTAATTGGGATCCCTCATCCTACCCACATAAGGATGTTGATTCCCAGAGGTTGAGTTTTGGATTTAGAGCTGAACTAATCACCAAAAGTCCTCACATGTGTTATGGGGGCACTTGGTACCTAACTCATTTTGCCTCGGTTTCATTGCTCTGATGTTGTGGGTCACAGTGGGTGCACTTGTTGGTTGCTTCTCTTCTTCCTCTTGTGCTAACTCTCGATGTTTTATGCCGAGGATGTTACTGTGTTTGAGGTGGTCCAATCTGTTTGGTTTGAGTGGGATATCTATGTATTTGCATTTGAGAACCAGTTAAACCATGTGAACTGAGCAATATGTGGGAGTGAAAGGCTTGTGAGCAGGAGTAAGTACCTGTCGAAAATATATTTTCAGTGTAGGAAAATTATAACTTTTGATATTGTTGGTCATTTTATCTCTGTTTTATCACATTTTGCTTTTCTTTATGTTGTGTTCACTATTAAAGGGTATACATTATTTTGTACTTTGGATTTTAAAGAAATACTCTGTTTTGTGTTTTAATTCAAGATTTATTTTTTCTGATTTTGCTGTGTTCCATTTTTAACATAATTTTTGTGCTTCTTGATTTTGGTATGTTTTTCTTTTTATTTGAGAATTTAATGTCAGATGGTTTGTTTTGTTTGTTTTTGATGTTATTACATCTTGCTTTTATACAAAGGATTTATTCTGTTTATTTGATTTTCATATAGTTTCCCTTTTTTGTTCTTTTGTATCTAACATTACAAAGTTGTGTAGTGTATTTAATTTGAATTTAAGTTTCTGATTCATAATCTTTTCTTTGTAAAGTTCTTTGTTTTATGTGTCTATATTGCTATATAAGTGTTTTACAGGGGTAAGAGTAAGTTGCAATGCTGTATCAGCCAATGCAGAAGTTTATTTGATTGAATTTAAAAGTTAAAGTGAGATACAGCCTGAAGGCAAAAAAAAAGGAAATATGTAGTATGCAGCATATAAGGTATTCTTTAACCCCTTTATTTAGTAACATAACATTTATCACTTTTTTGTGCATGGAAGTGTAGGTTTAACAATAGAACCTTGGTCAAGGAAGTAGCTAAGTTACTTTTGCCCTACTTACCTATTGTTCAAGGTCATTCACCTGTATTGTCAGTTGCACCTCCTTGTAAGAAGGATTTCTGTAAAGTTGAATATATTATGTAGAAGTACACACCAATGTTTTCCATTAGTGGGTCAGGTGATACCCAGAGGATACAGCCTCACTTATTTTTTTATGAGAATAGCAATCAGTGACATAGGTAATCACATACATCCTAGAAAAGAATAACTTTATTGTTTCTTGTGTACAAAGCTATTTTTTCATATTCTTAATGGTTCTTCAAACAGATTTTCAACAACTTCCAACATTTATTTCTGACAGCTCTGAGTCTATAGTAAAGTCACTGTCCTACTACATGAATGCACTCACATTCTGAAATAAAAAATATTTCTCTTCTTTCACATGTCCAGTCTTATTCCTTTTTGCAAGGTGATGAGTCCAAAAATTCATATTTACATCTATAAAAAATTTTCCATCAAACCTATCTAGTCTTTGGAACCTACCCAAATATTCTTAGAGGAAATCAGTCACCTGAGAATACCACAATAGGAATCATTGTAAAATTTCTGTATGTACATTCCATATTCATTCCAGTTAATGGTTAGTCTTTGAAGCTTTAAGAAATACTTTAGATTTAATTTTATAGATCATATGAAGTTCAAAAAATTAATTATCACCACATAATTACAGTTTAATGTGTTTTAAATGTAGTTTTTGTTTTCCTTTGTGTTATTCAGAAGTTTTTTATAATTCCCTCAAGACAGATAGACCAAACATTAGAAGCTTTTTTATTTTTTCTATGACCCTTCTGTGATATATTTGGGTATGCTTCATTTATACTTATATATATATATATATATATATATCCTAAATTAATTACACAGATAAATAAGAAACTTTGTTTTTATTTGTGAATGACCTGAATAATTAATTTGCTTAATTCTGATAAGCTAGTATTATATATGTAGGTACGGAGTGATCTTGAAAAGACTCCAACTTCAGAAACAAGCCATAGAAGTGCTGTGTGAAGCAGTTCATAAAGAACCACTCCACTGGGGGGCATGGCTGGAACTGGCAACTTTAATCATAGACAGAGAGATGGTATGTTTTCAGAATTTTAAAAATTGGTCATAAAGGTAAACTATCATATATACTGCATAGTGCATTTTTAAGCCTGGATGTGTGAACAAATCACACACATGTAAAAGATGATGGTAGGATTAAGTAATTTTTGTTTGTTTGCTTATCACCTTAATTGAGTGTTTTCCATGGTCTTATACATCAGATTTGCAGAACCACATTTTGCAGTGAAGAATGTTATATCACATAGAATGAGATCATCCTTAAATGTAAAATATTTATAGTCCAAGGCTGCTGCATAGAATATATGATTATGTTGCAAAAGTGATAAAAGTGTAAAGTTTATTTTCCATATTTTAAAAGAAGCTATGTAATGAATAGTCATATAATTATACATTATTTATGCTTGAGAAACTGTTTGATCCTTAATCTAAAGTATCTTGTTGCTTATTTGTTTCTTACTTTTTCTCTGAGTGTAGTGAAATATTTATCAGAGATAAAAACAAGTGGGTATCCTTAATAGCTACTGCAATTGAAATTCTTTTAGGCTGGATCAGAGTAAATTAATCTATGAGACCTTTTTTTCCTTTTTATTAGCTATATTTTTGTGCACCAACAATACCAAGCTAGGGTTGTACATATACCCTATTCAATTTTATTACTCATCAGAATTTGTACCAGCCTACCCTCAAATTGAAATTCTTTTAGGCAGGATTAGAGTAAAATAATCTATGAGACCATGGGCATAGTCAAATACATCAATCAAAAGGGTTTGGCCTCCTGAGTCCAAAACTGTAATTAGATCTCAAATCGGTTAAGAGATGATGAAGCTATGAGCTAAAAGTTTGTTCTTGATTAAAAACTTGGATCCATTCTATGAGCCACTATGTTGTGGCTAATAATGAATGAAATCCAAAATATGCCTCATTATGTTAGCTAAAACATTTTACTCACTGCAACGTAAATTTTTTCTGAAAGATGTATTTTTTTGTATGAAAAGTCATTTATCATAGGAAAAATATTTCACTAGATTTTGATGATAGACACAGCAGTTGATAATTATTGTTGAAATGGGCAATCTGCCTAGTGAATTTATGCTTATACAACATTATCTAAATCTACACTGTGTGTTTTCAGGTTTAAATTCACTTCTGCATATCTTCATTAGACATTTATTTTACTTATACTCTGATATTTTACTTTGTTAAGTTTTTCTTTTATTTGTCTACTCAAGCATTTTAAACATTCCACTGATCATGAGCGATCAATGATTGTCTAAAGGATGTCATTTTTTTTGTAAGTGACATACTTCACTACTATTTTACTTATGTGATGATTTTGTGTGATAAGGAATGAATTTCTGTTTTTAATTCTAGTGTATGGAAATGTTTTAATTTTTTAGTTTTTAATTGTACTAACTTTGAGGCCTGGTTTTTTGAATATGTTTTTCAAAGTTACAAATGCATTCCCATTGTGTTTGTCTAATCTATAAGTTTTACACTTCATAAAGAAAAAATTATTATAAATGTACACAGTTTTAATTTTTACCCATAAAAGTAAAACACTGAGATAATCATAATTGTCTTAATATGTATCTAAGTTTTAACTTTTGTTTGTTTGTTGTTGTTTTTCCAAGTAGGAAAAATAACTTGTGCTCCACTTGCAAAATTAAAGTCTTAAGTAGTAAAATGAAATTATTTTCTTTCTTTTTTTCATGTATTACTTTGAGAGCTGGATGATTTAATTGATTAATCAATATCATTGATAAACTATCAGCACCTGTTATATCCATTAGTGTCACATAAACTAATCGACTAACCGGATTCATCATTAAATCAATTACTCAAAATTAGTGTTTCCAATTATTCCAACAATTGATTAATTGAATTTTTGATTATGTTGGTTGTCACAAAAATATGAACTAATTGAAATTAGGGTTTCCAATTATTACTATTTTTCATTATTCCAACTGTCCAAGTATTTGTTTTATTGTTATTATGTTTGTTTGTTGTGAAACACAAAGCTACATAATGGATTGTCTGTGCATTGTTCAATTTTAGCATTATTTATAAGTTGCTTTTTTGGGAGGAGGGGGATCTTGTGATTCAATGTATTTTTGCACTACTGCTTTGAGAAAAGGCAACTGGTTGGCATCATTCATCAACATTATTGTTCTTCTTGTCATAACATGGTTTGAGGAACACTGTACTAAGCAATTAATTGAGTGTAATTGATTAATGGCGCTGTTGATTAATCGATTAGCAAATACCACTAATCACCCAGTTATAATTACTTTAGTATGTAGAATGCGAATATGTAATACTTTTGTTTTGTCTGTGCTGTTGTTCTATATTCTAAAGTGTTTAACTATTTGTTTTTAAGACAAATATGCTCTATAATCTATTAATGTTAGCAAAAATAGATAAATAATTAATACTAGCTACATATAATAAAGTCTCTTTAAATAATTGTTTATAAATCTATATTGTTTGAGCTTTTAAGACTTTGAACCTTGAGTACAAATTGGAATATGGTTTGTAAAATAAATATAGGAAATAATCAAATTCTATGTAAATGTAATTTCCAAATGAAATGATAAAATATTAATTATTTTAATTTCATGAGGCAGCAAAAAAAAGACAATTTCATGATATCATGAGATTTTCTGTTTTTTCTTTTCAAAAACAACAACAAATGATTTTGATTTTTAATTAATTGTTGCAAAGTATAAAAGCACTTGTATGTGTTTCACAATTTTCAGTTCATGTGCTTCAATAAACATACACAATATAATATACAAGAAAATATTAAACCTCACACAGCTTGCTCTCTTATGGATTAGGCTAGGTAACTCATAAACATGTTTTATTGTCCCATTGGGAATCACATTGCCTTCATGTGTAATGCAAAGATCAACTATATTGGAATTAAGTTGCTGGACACATTCTAGTAGACTTGCTAGTTTCTACTCAATTTCATCTTTCATATGTAAAACTTTATTACAGTTACTCTGAACACTTTATTAATAACTTATATTTTAATTTGGTTTCTGTTTGAAATTGCCACAGTCAAAGTACATTAATTTTGTTCTCAGACTCTCATTCACCAATTAACCACACCATTCTCTGCTAAATTGTGTCATATGGATTATTCATTGTTGTTACTTCTGGATGTAATATTGAATAATAACTATCATAATTTTGTGTATAGGAAAGCTGTGTTGTTATTCCTAGATGGCACACAGGTATGTGTGTATGACTGAAATGTAAATAACAATAGATATGGAATTAAAAATTTCTGGTATGATATTCTACCTCCACTCACACATATAGCTATTCTCCTTCAGTGCTGCCCTCTATATATGCAAAAATATTTTCGCATGCCACAAGCCTTGAATTCCCACTTACACTGTGAACGACATGGATCACTTCATCTTTGCATCTAAATCATCATATGACAACCCTCCACCAATAAGAGTGTAACACACCCTCCTAATGCATCTGACTCCCTCTATTCGATTCTACTGAACAGTCACTTCTTGTTAGGCATTTGTCTGTTGCAGACGTTTTCAATTATACTTTTATCATGTGTTGATTTCTTATTTTTTGTAAAGTAGTGCTAAACCATTTATTATTATTTTGCTACAGTTGCTTCTCTGTTTGTGTTGCAATTTTTAATCCTCTTCCCACTACTTTAAATGTCATTACACAGGCTTAAAGTGGGGAGTCTCGTCTGAGGATTTTTCGGCTATCATTTGTTAAGAGATTGCTCTTTATATGAGTCGACCTTCTTCTCCTGACAATGTTCAGGTTCCTCCTGTATTGTCTGAACCTGTTAATGATGATGAGGATTTTCACAGCCATTTTCCTCCACCTAACTATATTGTGTCTTCCTAAGCCTCTCCTGTGGAATCTGCCAGGCCTCTCTTGGCTTTTTTTGGACATGATTTCTCAGGTATATTCCATTTTATCTCTTTCCCCAGTTTCATATGATCCTGTTTCTGCCTTATTACATAACATACCATCATCAGAGTACCTTGTTTTCCCTTCTTTGCCTGACAATCAGGGTACACGTTGAGCATTTTGTTTCTCAGTTGAGAATTGTAGCTAGCATACCTTATCCTTCAAGAGCTTCTGACTAATATGATTTTGCTTATCATCAGGCCAATCAACCTTTTCCTGACTCCCAGCAGCTGGAGTCACTTTTGCCAGTGTGGGGGCTGACCCTGATAATCCTATCCATTTGTCCCAAGTCCAGTTTTCTCAACTTCATCTTACCCATACGATACTTGTCATCCATACATCTCCTTTCAGAGGCACTACACCAACCCTCTGAGATATTTTTGGAGGATACCCTTTCCTTCATTACCTCCATGTTGGCATGATTTTTCTCCTTGGCTTTATTCCATCCATTCACACGTGGTTTCTTTGCTGTTGGAATCTCCTTGGCTGGGACTCTGTCTTGTTACAGGTTTCTCTACCTTGCACATATCTTTGGGATCCACAGATGGCTCCTTTTCTCCATCTGTCTGTACTTGGAGATATTTCTGTGTGAAATCTGTGAAACAGCACTCAACCCTTTCTTCTTCTTTGGTTGCTTATTTTTCTCACTCTACTACCATGCCTTCTCTCATAACCCTTTCCCGTCTGGCACCCTCCCATTCTTTGCCAGTTCCTACCACTAGATGTTCAACATTTTGTCATGTGTCTTGACCTCGAGCTCATCGTTACCATCAGTTCTGGTGACTTTTAGGTCTGGTCTAGTGTGGGTACATTTAACTGATTTTGTTCACCTGTGGTGAGAGTTCACTCCCGATCTGTGAGTGATCCAGGTTTTGTTAGATGGACTTTTTATCCATTTTCTTTTCCCTCCTCTGTTGTCTTCTGTACCAATTTCCTTTCCATTACATTAAGATCCTGCTACCAGGCAGTGTCTATCTGAGGCTGTGCAGGCTCTTCGATCACAGTGAGCTATCAAACCTGTTAGCCAGCCTTCCTCAGGCTTTTTGTTGTCTCCAAGAA